TTTTTCTCTTCCTTTCTCTTTCTTTCTCTTTCTTTCTCTTTCTCTTTTTTTCTTTTTTAAATAATAGAATGTAGAATCAGTGAAACTTTCTATTTTTGAGTAACCTATTCCTGACTACCCAAATCTATCAAATTTAAATCTAGCTAGCAGAGGAAAATCCTTGGGGAAAAAAACTGCCGTGGAACTGTGAAACTTGGTTAAGGCCGGTTTACTGACGGTACGATTTTCGCCTACAACTATCGTATACAACACGCTCGCGCCATCCTACAACTCGAGTCGTAGCGTGTAAATCAAGCTTACAACTCGCCTACGACAGACGAGAGCGTGTTGTATACGATAGTTGTAGGCGAAAATCGTACCTTCTAAACCGGCCTTTAGTGAAAGCTAAGGATTCAAAACTTGCCTTATTTTCCTTTAACCCACGCGATTGATGCCAAAATACTGCCGACTGGTAGCTGCATTAATACTAATAAATAAAACTAAAACTAATAAAAAAAGCAAGGCATTTTACGGCCGGGCTGCCACAGGCAACCCAGTAAATAAACAAAGGCATTTTACGACTGGGCTGCCACTGTCAACCCAGTAATAGACCCGTTTCGAATTTCAAATTACCGCTGTGTTTCTTGATTACAGACTCATTTGCACAGGTTTAGCCTCGAGTTTGTGCAGAATATTCACGTGTTCCAGTCATGGTCCGTTGAGTTTCTAAGTATTTGTATTGTTGAAGTTGTGCATTCTTTACTTTACTGTTGGTATTTGTGAATATTTAAACACTGATATGAGGCTAACCCTGCGCAAATGAGTCTGTAATCAAGGAACACAGCGGTAATTTGGAATTCGAAACTGGTCTATTAAATGATCTGAAGTCAATGCAGATGTTTTAGAATCTAGGCGCGCAATGCATTGTTAGTCACCAAGAAATATATTTTCTATATTATTTCTTGCATAAAAAGAAAACAAAATGCTATTTTTCAAAAGATATTTGGTAAATCTTTCCAGGAATGGGCTTTATTATCTTTAGTTTTAGGTAAAAGCTGTAATTTATTGACCCGAAAACCTCTTAAACCAGGAAATATTGAGCTACGAACAAAATGTCGGCTGATTGTTTAGTTCGTTTGAGCTGAGAGAATCGAAATCACCGGGATCCTATTGGTCTTTCTATATGCCGAGACGAATTATGTCAATTATCGAGACTAATATATATATAGTTTTCCTCAATTAACCATGTATAGTGTGGATGTGATTGTCGGCGCCCCTTTCTTCTTGTTCTATCATTTTCGTTGACCCTTTTGACTGAGAATTTCAAAGATGTCTTCCTTAGATGATTTTCATTTGCCAAGGAAATGATGATCTTATCGATCGTGTTTTTTAGCCGCAACGGAAAGAGTGGTTTTCGCAAGGCCGCGTGAAATGTCGCGTATGACCATCTCACCTGGTCAGAACGCAAGATAAGAAAATGAAAGGGCCAATGACGGAGGAACGTCAGCTTTTTAATCAGGTCAATATTTTTCCATCCACTGAAAAAGATCGGCCGAAAGAACAACGTGACAAATATTATGAAACAATAACTGGAAGGTCATTTTTTAAATATATTCCATCTAGTTGAAGAAAAGGGTAATATTTTTTGTGTCATTTCTCCACCCTTCACCTCCTCCCTTGTATAGTATTGATAAAATGAAGGCTTCCTGCAATGCTCTAATTTGGACATCAACTGATGATATAAAACTACTAAACACAACACACTGACATCTGAGCCTTAATGTTATGAATAATAACCAAAACCCAAGGTGACATCGGTGAAATGAAAACTAGAGAAAGATTGCATATTTCTTTGCCTCAAATCACCAAGAATTTGCGATAATTTAGTTTAGTTTAGTTTTTTTTTTTGTTGTTTTTTTTTTTTTTTGTTTTTTTTGATGACAACTTCAGTTTTTCTGACCGCGCCGAGTCATTTCAGTCCGTTGACAAAAAAATAAACGCTCAAGGGGCGCATAAAGTGGAAATCGTTATTTTCCTGTACTGGTGTGTTGGATCGACCTTGGCTTCTACTAAAGCCAACATTAGACGAGGTTAAATGAGTAACGTCCACTAACTATGCTCCGCAGCCTAATGCCAGGTAATTGCACAAGAACTATGACATGAACATGAATGTCTGAAATGACCACTTATCTATCATAAAGTTATCTGCTGCTGACATCAAGAAGTTTTATAAGTATATTGAATCGATTCAGTCCGTCAACAAAAGCGAATCAAAAGCGAATCTTTTGTGTTTCTAGAAACTGCTTCTATCTACACTAATAATAGTACGAGCTGTTTCGCTTTAACTTGGTTTTCCATTATATTCATTGTTATTTGATCCACATTTAATTTATTTTCCTTGTTTAAAAAAGACTTCGTAAACTACAGTCTGCACCTGTTAGTAAGGTTGCCCACTATCTGACATAATGGTTATAAATCCCATTAATGAGTCATTTCTGTTCACTTAGTTTAAATAAAGGTTTGGTTTGTATTTTCGTGTTTTTAATATTCATTTTTGATAACCATTTCAGTTATTCAGCACCTGCTGGTGATCCGACAGACCATCTTTGCATATTGACCAGTAGACACTGCTTGCTGCGCTTTCTAGAATCTTGATATCGCCATTTGCGTGCAATCAAATTGTCATCAGCTTAATCGTAATTACTCTAAGGATTTTCAACGTCGCGTCAAAACAAGAGCCAAAATCGACCTGGGAAAAGAGAAACGACCCATCCATATGTGTTGACTGAAAAAGAAAAATATTTGGAGAAATTCTGAGGACGTGCTCTTATCTACCATCTCTTGTCTCCAGAACTCTTAGAGTTCTTCCGCAAGGACCTCATGAGCGGTCAGATATGCAATGAAATGATCATTATTGTCTATTGTACTGTGATATTGAAAAGGAATTTCGAATTATGATTGTTCAACAAAAAGGCGACGATGCGAAAACAGAATTGACGACTGCATTCAATGAGTGACATTCATTTAAAACCGTTATTCAAAACAGCGAAGTGTTGCTCTACACTCGAAGTCTAGAACTAATATTGTCTCATTTTAATTTCTATAACGACGAGACTATTCGCAGGGAACGATCGCACAGGGTTGAAGCCCTATCCCAAGTGACTGAAATCCAAACCGTCCACGCATTGAATAGTGAGTCTCACACTCGTGGTAAAAAGCAGACGTACCAAGTACTAGTGCTAGTGAACTTTGACACTGCATTTAACTGATTATTCAAAGTTTCGATACGGAAAACACAGCAATGGCTGAGACACAGTTAGATAACTTCACTCAAAATTCAACTACAGATCCTGGAAAACAGCCTTACAGCGTCTTGGAGACTTCTTTAGCAGCAGTGTGTCTGTGTTTGATTATAATCCTTACAATTCTTGGAAACACAACTATCTGTTACGTGGTGTTTAAGAACAAGAGGTTATGGACTGAGATGAATATGTTTCTGGTGAATTTAGCAGTTGGGGATTTGGCAGTTGGCTTTTTAAGTATGGTGTTTCCTTTGGTAACTTCCATCAAGAGAGAATGGATTTTCAGTAACACAATTTGTCAGCTAAACGCAGCCTGTAACTCGGTATTATTTTGTAGTACAATATTCACTCACACAGTAATAAGCATCGATAGATACTTTGCTATCGTTCATCCAATGAAAAAGTTTATGACAACTACGAAAGCCTTCTTAATGATTCTTGCAGTTTGGATATTTTCTGTGGTGATTGTACTGGGTCCTTTCTTCGGCTGGGGTCATCTGGAATATAATCCCACTACTCTTCAGTGTGGCTACGGTTTTCCAAGATCAAAACTGGAGTCTTTGTACATGGTTCTCTTGGTCTTGATAGCGTTCGTTATCCCTCTAATAACCATGACTGTTCTATACGTAAAGCTTTATCGATCTCTACGCGGCCATACACGGAGAATGTCCACAGCTACAATTTCAGGGGCCCAACGACAGGCAGCGTTTAGATCCCAAATTCGAGTTGGTGTTACGTTTTTTATGGCACTGTTAGCATTTTTCATTTGCTGGGGTCCGTTTTGCTCTTTTATTGCTATCGCAGCTGCGGTAAAAGTTAAAACTAGTATCCCACATGGATTAGGACTTGCTGCATACTGGTGTGGCTTTGTTAACTCTCTTTGTAATCCTTTTATTATTGGGTTGAGGAACGAACAATTTAAAGCAGCTTTCGTTAAAATTTACTGCGGTTGCTGTCGAAATGATGCATGTGAAAACTGCTACAAAGAACCACATATTGATTATGATAGCGCTAGAAACACTAAAACAAGCAGTAGAACGACAGATTCTGAAACAAAAGTGACAGACCTTACGAGAAGTAATCGATGCAGCAATGCTACTAATATTACAAATGACGCAAGGATGATTAGAGAAGCTCTGGATAGAGATGCTGTCGAACGGAAAAAAATACGCGATTACGACGATGAAACTACTGCCCCAGTTCCAACTAGAAAGAGAAAGAGTGGAGTCGCTGCTGATAGTCAACAACTCCAGTTCCATGAGCCTTACAAACTGAAATGCGTACATATTGTTGGAAATTCTTCATATACAGAATCTGGTGTTTGAACAGAATATTGACAGAAAGTATTTAACTCGCGTGTCTTTGACTACCGCGAAATACAAATCCATTAAAAAGACATTAAATATTTGAACAGGGAAGTGTAGGCGTCTTAAAGCGTCTAGGGTTTTGCTGTACGAGTCTCTGTTTGTGAGCACACATTAGGTAAATGGAACTCAAGAAGAACGAGACTCGGAAAAGAGAATAGTACGAATTAATAATCTAAAAGAAAATTATTTTTGTAGTTCACGCAAGATTAGGTAGTGCGTGACTCTATCATTCAAGACTTGCCATGCCTCATCGACTGACTGACTTGTAGAACGTCAAGTCATAATAAATTATGTGACCCAAAAACACAAACATTCAAACATAAAATTAAAAACAATTATAGTTAACCTAAATGTAGCGCTTTACTGGACATGGTTCTAAAAACTTAACCAACTATAAACCCCTTCATCTTATTCGTGTGATCTAGAACCGAAAAACGGAAGTTGGAAACCCAGAAGCGACATTTGTCTGGTATGGGAAGCAGAACGCCTATAATAAAGTTGAGATAACCAAAAAGAAATGTTTGAAATGTTAGGAATTTTTAAGACGCTTTTAGTCAAGGGGAGCCTTTTGTTTTTACAGTGCTACACTCATGTTGTTGTTAAGCATTCGTAACAATATTTGTCATTTATTCATCGCTGATGGATAGCTGATCTACTTAGACTCGCTAAGTAGCTAGAGTGTTGGAAAAGCCGATAGGAAAACTATGCTTTATATTTTTCTTTATCATCCTCATTTCCTGAATTTTTTTTTCTCAATTCTTATTATTCGAAAGTTTCCGGTCCTTGTTCTCCTTCATAGTGTAATTCACTCCTCCTCCTTTTATTCCTCTTCTTCATCCTCGTCCTCCCTTTACTCATCTCCCTTCTCCTTCTTTTTCTCATCTTCCTCCTCCTCCTACTCTACTGGCACTTGTTTTCTCCTCTCTTTCACACTCCTCCTCAGTACTTGTCCTCATTTAATTTCCTTTGCGTTCACTTTCATTTATCCGTGCACATACTATTCTACAATGATAATAAATGTATAATATATAAATATGGATACATATGAATGGCACGTCTACAACCGGGCCTGAAAATACAAAAATAAGCTAAGAAGTCTTTTGGTGGATCGGAAAAGCGCAAGACTTACGGCACTGAGTAAAGTGGAATAAGCTTGAGTACAGTCATCGAACTCTAGAAGATGCCTCTTTGTTTTTCTACTGAGTCAATCTATCAAATCTTTGTCAAAACCTTGCGGCAAATCGATCATGTTATAATCCCTTGATTATATCGTGTTTGACCACAAGAGCCATGGTAAGAACTGACTAACCGACTCTGGTTCAATTAAACTAATTATTTGATAAGGCAAATGTAAAAAATGCTTTACAATACCAAACACTTCGCGCTACTCAGTGTTTCACCGCTCAATGTCTGGTATATGATATTGGTATATGTTGTTTGTTTTTTTTTTTTTTTCCTCGTTTTTCGACCACTAAAATAAGTTATGACCAAAAACATTCTCCCTAGCAGATGGCGGAACACTGTTAAGTAGGTGGGCTCAGAAAACACTACTTAAGTTTGCAGGCGCGATTTAAGTGGCCTAGAATACTAAGAAGTGTGGTCAGAAACGAGGCGTGTAGTACACAGGTTCTGTATGAATAATTTTGTGCTGTGTGTAAGAGAGGAAAAAATGTTATAAATATAAATGGAAGTTTGACTGTGTTTACAATTAACCGCTTTGAGATAGAGCTGGCCAGGTGCTATTTATTAATTAAAGGCTCTCTGATGAGTACTAACGGGTACTGCAATATGAATACTGATTATCATTTCTTGTTATAACGCGAGAAAATTCATAAAATAACAAAAAATAAAAAACAAGATCGAAAAAAAATTTTGGGGGGTAAATACACAGTTAAGTCAGACTGGTACCAGTAGAAGAAGCCAGTGAAAGCAAAAAGAAAAAGAAATTCATGAAAAAATAAAGGTTTTATACTAAATAGTAAAACAGGCACTGTTGAATAACTATTACGCAAAGAGGTATTAATATCTAAATAGAGTTAGTCTGCCGCAAAATAAAAGGAACTAATTAACACTAAACTGAAAAAGAGGAGATAAGAAAAAGGAGGAAGGTTTTCTTGAAGGATAATCTGTCACTCTCGCAGTTAAACCACCCAAATTTACGTAAGAACCTTATTTCTTTGGCTTCTTGACAACAGGGCTCTTAACGATTTCTGTTACCATGGAAACAAAACACAAAGAAATTTCTCTTCGTTAATTCAGGCCAGAATCTTAACTAATGATCACAGGAGGAGGGATTGACACTCCTCCTCTATTAACACTGTCGGTGCGCAGAAGATAAATATCGTTAAATATCCATTCAAGTTACGTTCAAATAAACATATTTTGAATAAGACCCAGTTCCCTGACTAAACGATGCCACACAATATAATACTATACAAAACCCATTTCTCGTTGGATTCACTCGATTTTATTTCTCTTTTTCAATTAATATTATTCCACTTTATTTTACCGAACACTTTGACTTAAATATATTTTATAATTAGATCACAGTTCTGTTTTGTTTATAAATAGTTATAATTTTGCCTATTATTTCAAAGTATTCACTAAATTGCAAATAATTTTCCTTAAATTACAATATTTTCATGGACCTTTAAGTTACAATACAGAAAGTTGTTAGGGCTATTGATTAAGATTAAGTTTATTTATGAACTGGATAGACTATAGACAAAACTGTTTAAGTAATCAGGAATTGAAAACAATAAATAGGAAAGATAGTAAGAAAGATAGTAACTTATCTTGAGAAACTTGTCATAGCTAATCTAGAAAGAAAATGGTTTTCAATTATTCTGCTCAAATATATTTTAAAGAAAGAAGAAAGAAAAAAACAACAACAAAATAAACTAACAAACAAAACAAACAAACAAAAAAAAAACATAAAAAAACCAACAAAAATCAAAAAAAAAACAACAACAACAAAAAATGAGATGACACAAAGAAAATTTGGGCATCGTTAATTAAAATAATTAAAAAACTACTTTTTAGTGAAATTTAATTGAGATATCAGTTTGAGTATTTGCGATGAGATCTCACAGAATAAAAAAAGTATTTTTTCTAAAGTACAAAACTGCTCTGAGAAGATCATATTCTTATTAGGAAATAAATATTACATTTCAATGGCACATTACTGGTGTACCAGAGTGTACCACATAAAAAATGTTAATCAGATAAAACTGCTTAAAATATAAGGTGACAAAGACAATATCAATTACTCATTACATAAAAGCATTATGAATTATTAGATCTTGTATGACTGGAAGTCACTCCTGTGCTACAGTACTTAGACATTCTAAAAGTTTCCACCTCTGAGCTAATCAAAATGTAAGAGAATACTCAACAGCCAATCACAATTATTACTTGAATAAGGAAACCATTTAAGTGCACAGGGCCTGTCTTTTTGCATGCTCTTGAGATAGAGTTAGAAACCATCATGACCTGATTTGATTGACTGACATCTTTCAACAATATTGCAGATAAGAAATTGATGCCAGCCAATAAAAAGCATAAATGATGACAATTATTGTTTATTGAGAGTTCTTAGATAGAATACTAATGTCTGGTAACTGGATTGTAACAAGATTGTGTTAGATATACCACATATGATTTATCATTTAGTATTCAATCTCAAAAGCAAATAGCTTTTCGAACAACTTTTGATGTCTACCAAGAACACTTTTTCATTCAAATGTAAATTATATCTCTGTATGATTTTTAGTAGTTGCACACATCCGATTAAAGAAAATATCAAAAATATTGATCTACTAAAAATTCTATGTAACCATTAGCTTCATTAATTAAATTGAAAAGTGAATAAAAAACATTGAAATGTAATCAACTTGATTGTGGCGTACCTCAAGGTTCTGTACTTGGTCCTTTGTTGTATCTCCTTTATACTTCTCCAGTAGCTGATATCCTCCGAATACACAGAATG